TGCATGTGCTTAGATATCTTAAGGGAACTGTGTATATGGAACTTTTTTATTCAGACTCCCCTTATTTTTCTATACATGCTTTCTCAGACAGTGATTGGGCAGCCTGCCCTGATACTCGCAGATCTGTCACTGGTTTCTGTGTGATTTTAGGGGGGTAGTTTGATCAGCTGGAAGTCCAAAAAGTAACTTGTATCCTTATCCTCTGCTGAAGCCGAGTATAGGGCCCTTAGTAAGGTGGTTGTTGAATTGGCTTGGTTATCTAGATTGCTCACTAACCTTGGTATTTCTGTCTCTCTTCCTTTTTCTATGTTTTGTGACAATCAGGCTGCTTTACACATAGCCAAAAATCTAGTTTTCCACGAGCTGACCAGGCATATTGAGGTTGACTGTCATTTTATTCGGACTAAACTTTCTGATGGGCTGATTTCTCTCTCTCATGTTCTCAACAGTTAGCAGATGTTCTCACCAAGCCTTTACCTGGAGTTCTTCATCATGATCTTTTGAGCAAGTTGAAGGTGGTTTCCCCCTCTAACTTGAGGGGGGAGGGGTGTTGAGCTAATGGCTTATTTAGCATCTAAGCTTAAACATAAACACTGATCTCTTGTAAAGTTTATTTAATTAGTCTTCTCTTTTATTTTGGGTAACTTTGTATTTTTAGCCCACTTTCATGTTTAGCCCATTTTTGTCCCATTTAGTATCACGCTCATTATATAAATAATGGGATAAAGTTATAGAAAGACCCATTGGGTCATTTTCAATTGCAATGGCAGAACTGTTTCTCTCTCTCTCAAACATAGAACCCTAATGAAAATTTCCTTTACTTCATTCGATTTATGATGTTTTTACGGGGAAAAAATGTAGTTCACATTAATACGAGAAATTGTTATGATTTGCTTCTTCTTCTTTTTTTCCGGTCAAAAGATGTAAAGGAAAAAACTGATAAAAGTGTGAAATTGAGACCTACGATTTTGAGATTTTAATCTTTAACCAATCGGGTCTAAAGCTCAAATTAACCTATGATGTTCTTCGAAATTTTAAGACTCGAACCGGACCCGGAGGACGTGGTTCCGATGCCTCCGAGGATAGGTGTTTTGCTCGAACCCCGATACGAGGGGTTCCTCCCCCAGATTCTGGTTCCTTACGATCATGTCTCTGCTCTGTTTGTCTTACCGGGAAATCGAGGTATTCAATGGGCTCGATTTTACCTATATACAATATTCTTTATCTTTCAAGGTTTTGCACATTTCTTAATAAAATTATTTAATAACCCTAATTACTAAATTATTTTTCTAAGATCATTTACGTCTCCTTAAATATCTCATTTAATTAACACTCCATTAATTAGAACCGTAAAGGTAGATTTGAGATAAAAATTTGCACGGGACGCTCTATTTGGTCGCCCCCATTTAACCTATACCTATTTTTTTAAAGTTTTAACCTGTACCCACTTTTTAAATAACTCCAACTCTCTTTCTCCTCCTCCTTCTTCTCCTTCGTTTTTTTCTTCTTCTATAGTGATACATATACCCCTTCTGAGAGAAGCCAAGAATATGTAAAAATGGAATAACAGTGACAAAATGCTCTATGACAAACATGCCATTTTATTAAAAGTGAATCAAAACAAATTAAGCACCCATTTTCAATATCTTTGAACTACACAAAGAGATGTTGTCATGTTCATATATCAACTTTGAGGATTTCAAGCCTTTTTTAATACCATCAACCTTGCACGTAAATTCAAAAATATTCCCCTGAAAATTGATTAAAAACAGAGAGCATTAATAATACTGTGAATAAAATCATAAAGATGGGAATATATTTGACTGTAGCAGAAACAACACCAAGCAGGGAAACGGTCCATACCAGCAACATGCAATAATACTGTGAAAGATTACTTTGAATTGCAGCGGAATGTCCTGGTGATTTACCCACCAACCACGGGTGATTTAAGCATTCTAGTAGCTGAAGTTTTGTTCCCTATTTGCTGAAGTTTTTGTTTGTAATTGCTGAACTTCAGCATTTTTAGCTGAAGTTTTTCACGTAAACTTAGTGTTAGCTGAAGTTTTTATTTGTAATTGCTGAACTTAAGCATTCTAGTAGTTGAAGTTTTATTCTCTATTTACTGAAGTTTTTTATTTGTAATTATTGAACTTCAGCATTTTTAGCTGAAGTTTTTCACGTAAACTTAGTGTTGGCTGAAGTTTTTGTTTGTAATTCCTGAACTTAAGCATTCTAGTAGCTGAAGTTTTGTTCTCTATTTGCTGAGCTTCAACATGTTTTAGTCGAAATTTTGTTCTATATTTGATGAACTTTAGTTGATTTATGCTTCTAACGAACCTTATTCTCCTCACGCTGCTTCCACTTCCATTTCCGTTTCAAAACAAATACTCCTATAATCCTTTTTGCTAGCTACAAACTGAGTCCTAGAACCTTCGAAAAGTAGACATTTACGTGAAAAAGCTTATTGGTATAATTTCACACATCATGTGACTTATTCAAAGACTCAAAGGTATTGTAACACTTCAATTAAGAAAGCTGAAGCGGTCAATTTCCACAATTTGCAAGATAAGTTTTAAGTTACTGTTCTCTCTCTGTATGCTTCTAACGAACCTCATGCTCTCTCTATATTCCAGTGAATAAACTTTTCCCATCTGATTCCTTATATTCTAGTAAACAAAATAAACTTCAACTACTAGAATGCTTAAGTTCAGCAATTACAAAAAAAAAATTAGCCAACACTAAGTTTACGTGAAAAACTTCAGTTAAAACATGCATAAGTTCAGCAATTACAAACAAAAACTTTGGCACACCTGGTTCAGCAATTTTCGCTACTTCAGGCTCGTCTACTAGAATGCTGAAGTTTGCGTGATTGTCTTTGCTACTTCAGGCCCGTATGCTGAAGTTACGCGAAAAAAGTGGGTACACTTGCAATTTATTTTGCAAAGCGGGTACAAGTTAAAACGTAATCCAAAAAGCGGGTATAGATGCAAATGCCCCGATTTGAAAGAAACAAAAGTCAAACATTTAAAAATAATTTTAATTTTTTAAAACGACTAATATTTGGGAGAAGATGTGCCAATGTTCTTATCTTTCATCCGAACAGGTAGGAATACAACAATCCCAAGTGAAATATCATATTTCCTATTAAAATTAATTAGTATGGACAAGCACATAATTAAGATACTCTAATAGATTTTACATTCGGTAAATACTAACGTGATACATCTGTTAGTAAATTATAACAGTAAAAATTATTTTGGCAAACAAATAGAGACGGAGTTGATCAATTCAATAAAAACAACTTTTTGAGGAGGAGCTATTCAAGATGAGTAATAAAGAGGAGAAGCAGGCTAAGTATTTAAAGGTGGTCTAACAATCAATAAAACAAATAAAAACAATTGTGAGTCCTTTATTTAAATAACAAAAACAAAAAACTTTGTGATTTTTTTTTATCTGTTTAAGACTTGATAGAAAAATTTATTAATACTGTGCTAGTGAAGATAATATACTACGTGATACAATAAGTTGAAATGTATGCAAATATAGTGATGATAATATACTACGTGATACAATAAGTTGAAATGTATGCAAATATAGTGATGATAATATACTACGTGATACAATAAGTTGAAATGTATGCAAATATATAGACAGTAAGAATTAGCTAGGTTGTCCATATTTTGGAGCGGCTATTAGAGTTTAGCCAGATTTTAAATTGTAATGATAAAGTAATCGCTGATTTATTAACTTGACGTATTTTCCTCAACTAAAATATAGAACCGTTCTCCAATAATCGGTACTAGAATTCGAAATTTTGACTAGTGAAATCCCAATAAACAATGTTAAAATTTTCAAAATCCAGCAATTTTTAACTTTTACTAGTACAAAATCCCAACTCCATGAACGATTCCTAGTTTTTGAACCTTTACTAGTGCAAAATCCAGAAATGATTCATGATTTTTAAATTCACATTATACTTCTGCAATTTTTAACCTTTAAATATAAAATTCAGAAAAAATTATTGATTTTTGAACCTTTAGTAGTACAAAATCTAGGACAATCTAGGAACAATTTATGATTTTTGAATTTACATTATACGTCAGTAATTTTTAACCTTTAAATATAAAATTCACGAAAATTATTGGTGTTTGTACATTTTACTAGTGCAAAATTCAGGAAAATCTAGGAATGATTCATGATTTTTTAATTCACATTATACTTCAACAATTGAAATCTACTGCTTCAGGTCATTTAAACTCCGGGAACAATTATTGGATTTTGAACTTATGAATATTCAAAGTCCTGGAGTTTGTTCCGTATTTTAGATAGGAGTATTTATATCCAAATTTGTATTTTCGCATAAATACGTTATCAAAACAATTTAAAATACGAATAAATTCTAATAACGGACCGGAAAAATGGATATTTACCAATATCATTCGTTCCAGTTGATGTTTCATAAAAAAGCACACCATGCGAATAAGCCAGCCTCCTTTGCGAGTGTGGCTCCAAGTTCCATTTCTGACTTTAAAAATTGTCAAATATTTAAAAAATCGCACAGCTTTAGCTCTTACTTTTGTCAATAATCAATGTTAACGCCCACCCCAAGAAACATATACATAAACTTTTGTATCAAAACTCAAAAGTCAACCACCTTCTTCCATCTCTCTCTCCACTCTCTCTTTCTACCTTTTCCTCTTCCCTTTTCTGAATTAAAATACTACTACTACTGTACTAAAACTTAAACCACCTGATATTTTCAACCTATATATTCCTAACTCCTCCCTATTTAAATTCAAACTTTAGCTCTTTCTTTCTTCTTAAATCTCAATGAGTAAAACCATTAATGACAACCAGCTTCAGATATCTCCGTCTTTATGATTCTGTTAATGAGGATTTCCTTTCTTTTAAATGCAGTATGCTTTATATCGGTAGGAACCAAAAATAAATCATATCACTTTAATAAACATCTGAAAAGAACATAGTGTCGTTCTCTCCAAATGGGTAATGGGATGGGAAAATTGAAGCTTTGTTTCGCCGGAGATGTTGGAGAAATCTCGAAAAGACACCACGATATCGCCGTGAATCTCTCCGATCATCTCGACGACGTCGGTTTAGGCCATTCATTTTGCTACATCCGGCCAGACCCTTCTTTCTCCGATGAATCCTCCTCCTCCTCCTCCTCCTCCTCCTCTACTAACAGCAGCCAAACGACGGTGTTTCGCACCATCTCCGGCGCTTCCATATCGGCTAACGCTTCCACACCTCTCTCTACTGCACTTTTCGACTTCTACACTTATACTGACATATCGTCTTCAGCTTTCGAAAGCTCACCTTTATTCTCTTCTATTCCTCTTCAACCTATCCCCCGAAGATCAGTAGCCTCTATTCGGTCGGGCCCGATCTCCCGAGTTTCTTGCTCGGGCTCTGGCCCAACCGAGAGGGGATTTGTCTCTGGCCCAATCGAGCGGGGCTATTTAGTTAGAAGTTTGAGGAAAGTTTTGTCAAGCTCCTTTCTGGGGATTGAAGAAATGAGTTTTATAGAGAAGAAGAATAAAATTAATTTGGCTGATGACGTTGAGGGAAATGTACAGTGGGCTCAGGGAAAAGCAGGGGAAGACAGAGTACATATAGTGGTTTCTGAAGAACATGGTTGGGTTTTTGTTGGGATTTATGATGGATTTAATGGGCCTGATGCTACAGATTTTCTGTTAAACAATCTCTATTCAAATGTCATCAAAGAGCTCAAGAGATTTCCTTGGAATGACAAGTTAGAAATTTCTGAGGATTCGACGGGTAATGACATTGTTCGATTGGTACATCAGAGTCAAGAATTTGATGAGAAGTTGAACAATTTGGGAACAAATGGAGATGCGGGTATTGACCAATTCGATATCTTGAAGGCGTTATCAGAGGCGTTAAGGAAAACTGAGGCGTCATATTTGGAGATGGCTGATATGATGCTAAAGGAGAATCCTGAGTTGGCTTTAATGGGATCTTGTGTTTTAGTAATGTTGTTGAATGGTAAGGATGTTTACTTCATGAATGTTGGAGATAGTAGAGCACTTTTAGCTCAAAATCCTGAATCCGATCCTTTTGATAGCAAATTGGGACGGATAAACGAGGAAAGTCTAAATCTAAACAGCATTGATGCACTATGTAGAGTTGAATCTAATCTTACTTCTTGTCAACTCACCATGGATCATACCACATCTGATAAAGAGGTACAAATTCTAGCCTTTCTACGTAAACATATAATTCAAGATTCTGTTTTGGTCTATCGGAAACAGCCTCTCTACCTTTACCAGGTAGAGGTAAGATCTGCGTACATACTACCCTCCTCAAACCCCACTTATGGGATTATACTGGGTTTGTCGTTGTTGTTGTTGTTGTTTTCCCCTGTTTCATATACTAATTCTTGGACTTGTCTTATGAATTATTGCAGGAAGTTCTCAGGATTAGAAGTGATCATCCTGATGATGTTTCTGTAATTAAAAATGATAGAGTGAAGGGTTCCCTGAAAGTTACTCGAGCTTTCGGGGCAGGTTATCTCAAAGAGGTAACTTTAACCTTAATGTTACACGTTTTGCATTGCCTCCATTCTACCCTCCCTAGGTTGTTGATGTTGTTATTAACTTTCTGCATCTATGCTCATAAAAATACCTTGAATGTCCAAAACTTTTAAACTTGTTACTGTTTTGCTACTGCATTTCATCTGAACTAAATCCATTTTTCTAAGTTTTCGCGCTAATATTGATGTCTTTTCGACTTGTGTGATTATACAGGCCAAATGGAACAATGCACTACTAGAGATGTTCAGAATTAACTATATTGGAAATTCCCCTTACATCAACTGTTTGCCATCACTTTACCACCATAAGCTTGGTCCTAGAGACAGATTTTTGATCTTATCTTCTGATGGACTTTACCAATACTTCACCAACGAAGAAGCAGTCTCTGAAGTTGAAAACTTCATGTCTATATTCCCTGAGGGAGATCCATCTCAGCATCTTGTTGAAGAAGTATTATTCAGAGCTGCTAAGAAAGCTGGTAATTGCATAACACCAGATTTGTACTTAAATCTATAAAAAAGGCAGCCCAGTGCATGAAGCATCCCACATTCACGTGGGTCCTGAGTAGGCAGCCTACCCTGATGCAAGCATCAGCGGCTGATACCACGGTTCAAATCTGTGACCTATAGGTCACACGGAGACCACTTTACTGTTGCTCCAAAGCTCCCCTTCGTTCGTACTTGATCTATAAGTACTAATTTTTCATAGGCATTCAACTCGAGAGCTTTGTTTCTGGATTTTTGCAGGCATGAATTTCCATGAATTACTTGACATACCACCTGGAGATCGTCGACAGTACCATGATGATGTCTCAATTATCATTATATCTTTCGAAGGAAAACTATGGCGATCATCTGCTTAAATAAGCTATACTAAGAGAAATTTTGAACTCTTACAATCAGAAAAGAAAGAAAATCCATAGGAAAGATCAAATACTTTTTGCTGTTAACATTTGTTACCCCATTATTGCCTGTAGTGTGTATAGTACACAAGTTAGGCTTTTACATAAGATTGAGGCTAAGACTTCTGCTTGCTGATTGAAAAGCTACCGATAAATTTAACTCCTGCTTCTTTTTGACATTGTGATTCCAGTGCGTAGTCCAGGTTGCCTAACTAACACTGTTTAATATTGGTTGTTACATGTCAGTATTTGGTCAGTTTAGAGAGGGGAGGACTTTCGGCCCTTCCCCGAACCCCGCGCATAACGGGAGCTTAGTGCACCGAGCTGCCTTTTTCAATGCCGAAAAGACAGTTTTTTGCTGCACCGCAGTAAAATAACTAGGATAAGTGGTCTTGGTCTTGGAGTTCAACAACTTCTGAAATTCAGAGGCCTCGTAAAATAAAAGGATTTAAGGTACGAAATGGTGATCTAATTTTCGACTTTCAAGTTTCAAGAATCCATTAGAAATCTGCAGTTGAAGAATTTACAAATTAATCATCTAGCGTTCTTTAAATGGAGGCAGTTGGCAGAAAATGGAGAGAGTCAATTAAAGCTAATAATAAAAAATTCAGCCATCATAATCATGCCAATATGGTCAAAGGCTCATTTGAGGTGCGCTTAAGCCGTAAAGCTCATAGAAGCTCAGGCTAGGCGATTCGCATCACTTAGTAGGCAAGACACTAAGGTGTGCACCTTATTGCCCACAAGTTCTATTTTGAATAGAACGGCACTAAACATAAAATATGATTGGCTAAAACATATATTATTTATTAAGAAAATCATTATGAATGAATCTATTATTTTTTCCTTGCGTTACATATATGTTTTTTATTTTGTTCTTCGTTGCACCTTATTTAGCTAAAGATCACACTATCCAAAGGTTGAGTACCTTGGCTCGGGTAGGTGGTGCTGGGTTCCGTGTCCTTGGCAGGCTCGACCATCAGAGATCCGTTCATTACAAACGTTTTTTCTCGATGTGGACCAAGCTCCGACTTCCTTTTTAGCTTTGACTCGGAAGAGGTCGGCCTTTGAGCTGTTGTGCTTTGCGCCTAAAACCCTATCTTCTTCCGGGGAATTCAACTCTTCTTTCATAGATTGAGAACATAATAAGCACCAGTGCCTATTGAGTTAGATGAGCGAGATGACTTTCATTAGCTCCCCCACGAGTCGTCACTAGGGCTATCGGTTGTTTTTAACACAGCACTATTGGTTGTTTGGAATGTCAAGGCCGAAAGGCAGGCGGTCGGAAATACTAAAGGCGCTTGCTCTGGGCGCTAGGGGTCGTTGCTCACGTAAGCGAAAGGATGTTTTGGATCACTAAGGGCGACCAGTGGTTGTTTCGCTAGATGGAGCGCTTACTAACGCTTTTCGCCCTTTGACAAATTTCATGCTCGTGACCTTATGAAATATTCAGAAAGGAGCAGCATATTGGTGGTCTAGTTTCGTTAGAAATATGGTAGCATCGGTTAATTAACTTATATATAGTACTACAACTTCTACAAACAAATCAAGAAAGAGCCAAAAGATTTACAAGCAGTTGACTGAAAGGCTAGCGGACAAAAAGACTGCATTAGCCAAGGTTGTTCACGACATTGATTGGATGGAAAGTTATCTGATGATGTCAAAGGAAATGAATAAAACAAAAATAAATAAAATTAGACCAGTTAGATACATATGCATGGAGGGGCTAAGTCAGCTACGTGAAAGCTAAAAATATTGGATATTTTCTTGTGGTATTGACATCTCGTCACCTTAAGGGTAAGATCTGCGTATACATTATCCTCCTCAGACCTCACTTGTAAGATTATACTGAGTTTTTTGTTATTGTATAAGACAGCAAAGGCGAAGTTATGATTTCGGTCTTATAGTGTGATGACCCAAAAGGTCATCACTTGTTTTAGAAATAAAGTATGCGCTCCGAGGCCTTAAAAATCTCTTTCTGTCTCACCTCAATTTGCGTGCGCAGTCCGGGTGCGTAGCCGGAAAGCCATTTTGTGAAAATTTGTGAAAAATAATGAATTTTGCCTTTAAAATGAGTTTAAGTTGACTTCGGTCAACATTTTGGGTAAACGGACCTGGATCCATGATTTGATGGTCCCGGAAGGTCCGTAGGAAAATATGGGACTTGGGCGTATGTGGAATTGAATTCCGAGGTCCCAAGCCCGAGAAATGAACTTTTGAAAGAAATTGTTTTGCTGAATTAATTATGAAATAAAGAGAAGAATTTATGTTTGAAACCATTGGTATTGGGCCCGTATTTTGGTTCCGGAGCCCGGTATAGGTGTTATATATGATTTGAGTCGAGCCTGTGAAATTTGGTAAGAAACGGACTTGAAATGATGTGAATCGGACCTTATTTGAGAAAATTAGAAAATTTGATGTTCTTGAGTGATTTCATGATTTTGATGCTAAATTCATAGTTGTTGTTGTTATTATGGTGATTTAAATGCACGAGCAAGTCCGTATGATGTTTTAAGGTTGGTGTGCACGTTTGGTTTGGAACCCCGAGGGCTCGGGTGAGTTTTGGATAGGTCACAGAGTGGTTGGACTTAGGATGTTGCAGATTTTAGTTGGTATATTGCAGGCCTGCAGGCGCTCGCAAATGCAAAAGAGCCCAGGCCAGCATTACCCCGCAAATGTGATGCCCCCAGTTGTAGCCATTGGTCGCAAATGTGACACCACCTTCGTAAATGCGAGTTCGCAAATTGCGAACATATGATCGCAAATGCGAAGGTAGCAGGTTCCTTGCGAACCCTAGTCGTAAATGCGACATCTGCGACCTGCAACTTTATAACTTAGCCGAAAATCTTCCATTTTTCAAACCTTTTCAAAACCAAAACACTCTTGGGCGATTTTTCAAAGACAACTTCTCTTCCAAATCGATTGTAAGTCATTTCTAACTCGTTTTCTTTAATCTTTAACATCTTTTCGCATGATTTCAACTCAAAATCAATGATTTTCATGGGAGAAATTGGGTGTTTTGGGTAAAACCTAAATTTTTCAAATTTTGATGATTTGGACCTCGATTTGAGGTTCGATTTCAAAACAAATTATATATTTGGGTTCGTGGGAGAATGGGTAATCTGGTTTTGGTTCGAACCTCGGGTTTTGACCATGTGGGCCTGGGGCAATTTTTGACTTTTTGGGAAAAACTTTAGAAAACTTATTTTCATGCATTAGAATTGATTCATTTAGTATTTATTGATGTAATTAAGTAACTTGTGGCTAGATACAAGCGAATTGGTGGTGGAATCAAGAGGTAAAGCGATAATTGAGACTTGAATTGTGTTCGTGGCATCGAGGTAAGTGTTTGGTCAAACCTTAGCTTGAGGGATTAGGAGTGTGTCATATTTTCTATGTGTTATTTTTTGAGTACGACGTATAGGCATGGTGACGAGTATCTATACGTTGGTGTCAAGCATGCCCGTGAGTCTTAAATTGAAATTGTTGTGTTCTTAATAAGTAATACGAATGTCTTAGTTGTTGATTTTCTGTGTTGGGCAAGAATTACGGTTATTCTCGTGGAGGTTGCTTATGGTTGAGTATTGATGCTAGTTGAGGTTTCTTGTAAAGTTAAATGTTGGGACAAGTTTGGTTATAGCTGGCTCCCTTGCCGGGACGTATTTACTTGTATAGTCGATTCCCTTGCCGGGATAGTGTTGTTTTCTTATTGTTCCCTTGCCAGGAGTCTTTTAGTGATTGGTGTTGAATTGTATATAATGATATGGATCGGGTTGCATGCGGCAACAGTATTATATTTGGATCGGATTGCACGCCGCAACAATATTATATTTGGATCGGGTTGTACGCCGCAACAATATATATTTGGATCGGGTTGCACGCCACAGTAATATTATATTTGGATCGGGTTGCACGCTGCAACAGTATTTTTATGATTTGGAACGGGTTGCGCACCGCAACAATAATGATAGAAGTGGTTATTGACTGGTTATGATTTTCCTTATTCTTTCTGCTGCAAGTTTTAAATTGTTCCTTATGCTTTTCTCCTGAGTTACTGTTGGTAAATGAACTTCCCCCCGCAGCATGTTTCCCTCTCCCATCCTTAATTGCATATTTCTGTGTTGTTTTCCGCTGTATATTATATAACTGTACTGGTTTATTTGGTAGTCTGGTCCTAGCCTCGTCACTACTTCGCCGAGGTTAGGCTAGGCACTTACCAGCACATGGGGTCGGTTGTGCTGATACTATACTTTGCACTGTGTGCAGATCCCAGAGCAGCAACATTCGGACCTTAGCTTGGGTGGCTGCCTTCAGTCCAGTTGGAGATTCCGAGGTAGTCCTGCAGGCCTCCGCAAGCCTTGGCGTCTCCCTCTATCCCTTCATCCTGTTTCATATACTTATTTCAGAAACAGTGCATTAGTTATCTTTCAGACCTTGTTTGTAGTAAATTCTAGACTGTCTGTGAAGCATGTCACCAGTTCTGGGTAGATTTTGCTTAAGATGTTGTATTGGATATTTATTCTAATGGTTTATCGTTTCTTCCGCTTGCTTTAAATTTCTGTTGTTTATAACTGTTGATTCACACTTGTTAAAGAATTAAAAATGGGAAAAAGATAATTTGTGCAAATGGTCGGCTTGCCTAGCTTTCACTAGTATGCGCCATCACGACTCCCGAGGGTAAGAAATCCGGATCGTGACATATAGATTCTGGATTATAGAATGACAACTTCAAGTATTAATGATTGAGTTCTACATTTAATATTTGTACATATTTAATGAATCTCTTATCACAAAATACACTATTTGAACAAAAACTCTTAAATGCAATTGAACTTATAGCTCAACTTCTGCCTCCGCCCCGTAAGGAGTTGGTTTTGAATTTTGGACCATCACCATCACCCATGGAAATAACTACTGCTTGAAGCCTTGAACTAGTATAAAGAGAAAATGATTAAATGAGAGAAAAAAGGGTCAACATTCATAACTCATCTACTACTTCACATATCTTAACCATTTTATCTTAATTTATATGTCATATTTTTCTTCTTAGTTTGTTTCAAAAGAGAATAATATATTTTAATATTTTAAAACAATGTATTTACACCTAAACAAATTAAACTATTTAACTGTTGTAATTAAAAAAAAAATGAGAGTAAATATATTTTAATTAATTATGAGTAAGTAATAAAATGTATATATGAAATACATATATCTTGCATTAATTGGCTTAGTATAAATGAGATAAGTTGTTATTCAATGACTTGTTTTACATTATAAATTCTATTTTATTTTTCTTTCGTAAACATTGTGTCTAGCAACACCGGGCCATATAAAATGCGATGGAGGGAGTAATTTTTCCTTCCTTTGCAATTTGGCACCGTTTGTACCCTTGGGGCGTTTGGTTGGGAAACAAATTATCCCATAATTAATTATCTCGGGGTTAGTTATCCCATTCTCCCATAAGAATTAAAAAAATACTACAATCTTGGGATAACTAATCTTGGGATTAGGTATACCACGATTTTATCCCAACCAAATGTGGGATAAACTCATCTCAAATTTAATTTCGGGACTAATTATCCTTTATCCCTTGTATCAAACGAGCCCATATTGATAGAAAAATCATTTTATATTTATTTTTGACTCCAAGTTCCAATCTGAAGTACGACGAAAGATAATTTTAAATCATAGGTAAGAACGGAGGTAATTTTTATTTTTTTTGGGGAGTATTTTGATATTAGATTTCACTTAGTTCACGAAGAGTTAAAATCAAGGATAAATATGAGATTATTTACATGATAAAAGAAAAGAGTGCTACTGTTCGGCCAAACTCATCGTGGCCCAACAATGACCATACTCGTGAAATACTAGTGTCACACCTCCTTTTTCACCTACACCCGCAGGGGCGTAAAGGAGTTTTTCCAATTAAAGGACAATCGAAATGGGATTTAATTATTAATTATTTAGAGTCGCCACTTGGGATATTAATGGTGTCCTAAGTCACCGGTTGAATCCCGAACCGAGAAAATTTATGACTCTGTTAACAGTCCGCGAACCAGAAATCCGAGTAAGGAATTCTGTTAATCCGGGAGAAGGTGTTAGGCATTCCCGGGCTCCGTGGTTCTAGCACGGTCGCTCAACTGTTGTTTTTGATTTTATCTGATTTTAACACATGCTAGCTTATGTGCCTTTTATTTAATTTTGAACCGCTTTTATTATAATTATTTTTTTAAAAAAAGAATTGCAACGTCGTGAAATGTGTCTCGAACCATGTCGTAATCAATGCACCCGTGGTTGTTAATACATTTTGACTCCGTTGAGATTTGGATTTGGGTCGCATCAATGCGCACCCGAGTTTTAAGAATGTAATTTTATTAAAATCGTACCTAAAGCAACTACGCCTTTTAAATTTGCGCATGCCAGGGAGAATTCAACTAATGACACACTTCGACTTCTAAAGGATTAAAATTAATTAAGTGAGGGCCATGAGAATTTGCTAAATGGCACGCCTCGAAATCTACTCAACTAAACGAATTGAAGATATTCATATTTAAAGCTAATTCGAAATTTAATACCACAACTACGTCACAGGAACCGTACCCGTAACTATGATGATTTATTTAATTAACGTACCTAAAACAAGCTACGACTAGTCTAAAACACAACTTATGTTGCCAAGTAAAAAAAAACATTTTTAAGGAATTAATCTTACATAAACAAAAATAACATTGCACCAAAAAGATGATAAAAAAACATACGAAGCCCAACTTAAATAACAGTAAACAAAAACCATCCAACTATTAGCATGATAAACATACAGAAACAAACCATAAAACAATTAATCAACAGGATTAGGAAGAAACCCATAGTACCTGATAACGTAGATTCCATAGCAAAAGCATTAAAACTTTCTATTCCAGTGTCATCACAATCTCTCATTCTCAGAAGCGCACAACAAAACATTTAAGCCAAATAATTTTCCATGTCTTGATCTAGTAGACAACTCCAAGTGAGATTTACAGCAGAATAAAGCCGACAAAACTTGAGCAGCGAACAACAAAAATGGCTTGGACGCCTTTGACCGGAAATTCGAACGGCAATCTCGATCGACCTTAGCTAAACCTTGACTGCTGGAGTTATTTTGAAGTTGCTTTTCATGGTGTTTTTCAGCAGGTATAAGAGTGATTTACAGCTGGTTTACATGGTGTTCTTTAGCTGGATCCCTGCCGTCAAAATGGAGTGGAAGGTGGTCGTTTTGAACTATTTTCACCGCAGCTGGGGGGTTGTTTTAGGATATGGTATGAGAGTTGGGCTGGGGGAGAAGAGAGAAGTGGTCAATGGCTAAGCATGGCTACCAGCCTGCCAGCTCGCCGGAGAAGACGACGGTATTGGGTGGTTCAGTGGTGGAGGAACAATGGCGCTAGGGTCTGTCTAAAGTTCCATGAAGAAGATGAAGATCTTGGGGTCTCTAGCATGTGTATTGCGGCTGATTTTCCATTGTCTTAGGTCTTTTTCGCTTTTTGTTCGCTACTTCTTCTAATTTTGTCCAGAAGACGATGAAAAGGGTCCGGCTCTTCTGAAAAATTGCGCAGCTTTTATGTCTATCCCCCTCGTTTCTTTTCATCCGTGTTTTATATAGTATCTATTCTAGGGTTTTTGGGTAGGGTTTTTAGGTTAAGGGGTATAGGTCTAGGAATTATGGGCTTGACAATTGTGGGCTAGGTCCAAAATTAGACCTGAAAATGGGTTGCTCGAGCCCAAGCTCTATTCCTTTGCCGCGAATGAGATTAAAAATACGCGCCCATCTATTAATTAGTCCTACTATTAAAATAATTATTAAAACAAAACTAACCATTAAACAAACCTATTTTTTGTATTTTCAAACATTATATTAAAAATAAAAATACGATACTATTTTTATAAATATTTTTTTTAGATTAAAAATGACTACAAAATATTAATGAACTTATTTTTTGTAATTTTTGTTTTCTTGTACTAAAATAAAGTAAAAGAGTCAAAATTACTTAAAATATCTATATTATGCCTAAATTAAATATTTTACGCTAATATATAAAAGATCTTGGGGAGGGTCAAAAATCACATGTCTACAACTAGTAAAGCCCTTATTTTCACATTTGACTTAATGGCCATTTTTCCCTCCAAAATTAGTTAATAAATTTTGATTATCCCAAAACATTGATCCCATAAATCATCATTCTCTCATGCATGGGAAGATAAAAAGCCTTCGTATATACGGATGACAGCCTTCGTATATTCTCTCATTACATTTTTTTTTAAATGCAATTTATATGGATGGGAAGATCAAAAGTCTATTATGTATACATAATATTGTTTTTTCATTTATACGTTATTCCTTGTCATACCATATACTTATGCTAAGAGAGCTTTCATTAAACACATAATTCACCACCCTTCCCTAAACCTAAACATGAATGCTAACCTAGAAACTAGTTTGAAGCCATTAAACCCGAATAACGGCCTAGAAACTAGGTCAGCACAACTAAGGAATGCATTACACATATCATTGGGGTTGAATTCGGACGACAGTTTGATGAATGAAGATTAGTTGATCGACATTGATTCAGATGACAACTTCAATGATGGAGAAAATCATGTTGACGATGTTTCTGCTGCTGCTACTGATAATGATGATGATAATGGTGATAATCATGATGATGGCGGCCATTAATTAGAGTAAGAGGGAGAAGTTGGAGAGGACAGGGAAATGCCTAATGAGTTCAATGAAGAAGATCTCATAATTGGTCCAATTACTGGGATGCGGTTCAGTAGTAAGGATGTTATGTTTGATTTTTACAAAGAACATGCAAGATTATCAGGGTTTTGCATTGTCAAAATAACATCAAATAAAAAAGGTGGTGATATCGTTAGGTATGTGCAATATGGTTGTGGTAGGTCTAGGAAACCAAGGAATAAGCATGTTACCAAGAGGAGGAACTGTCGTGCTAGAATAAATGGAATTTTGGAGGAGAATGGTTCGTGGCGTGTTTCAAAGGTGGTTAAAAAACATAATCATCAATTGGAACCAGCACTATCGCGATTGATGGCTGGACACAGATCGCTTAATAAGTCTCTTAAGAGAACTCTTGCAACCAAATATATTGCTGGCTTAAGACCCTAAAAAAATATAAGAGTCGTTGAAGTACTTGCTGGCCCCGAAAATTTGGGTTGTACACCAAAAGACTGTAGAAATTAAATTTTGAAGAGTAGAAAGCTTCAGTTGCAAGAAGGGGATGCACAATCATTACTCAAGTTCTTCAGTGACATGCAGCAAAAAGATAGGGAATTTTACTACTTCGTAGATGTGGATGGTTTTGGTCGACTTCGTAATGTCGTATGGGTTCATTCACACTCTAAGGTTGCATATGAGGAGTTCCATGATGTAATATGCCTTGATACCACATATCTTGTGAATCGATACAATATGCCATTTGCTTCATTTGTTGGAGTCAACCAGCATAGGCAGTCCATACTTTTGGGATGTGCTCTTATGTCTAGTGAGGATATAACAAGTTACAAATGGTGCTATCTACATGGCTTGGGGATCTAAACAATGTTCATTCATTAGCTATCATGACTGACCAATGTGATAGTATTAAGGCTGCCATCAATGCATTGATGCCAAATACGGTACATAGATATTGTATATGGCACATACTCGCAAAGTTGCCTACGAAGTTAAGCGGAGTTCTTGATAGTAAGATTGCAAAGGCAGAATTTAAGGCTTTAGTCCTTGATAGCATTAACGTTGCTGAGTTTGAGAGACGGTGGACTGATTATATTGAAAAATATAACTTAGATGGAAGGGATTGGTTTTATAAGCTTTATTTGGAGAAAGAGAAATGGGTTCTTGTATACCTCAATGACCACTTTTGGGTTGGGATGTTGTCCACACAAAGAAGTGAATCGCATGCTTTCTTTGACGGATTCATCACCCGCCAAAGCACCTTGAAGCTATTTATTCAGCAATATGAGTTAGCCATAAGAACTAAGCTCGAGAAAGAATTGGAAGCTGAATATAGGTCAAGGTGCTTTGAACCAAAATGTTTATCTGAATTTGCATAGGAGGAAAAATTTCAAACACGTTATACTCGTGAAGTGTTTGAATTTTTTTCAAGTAAAGTTAAGGAAATTGTACCGTTGTGAAATCAGCACCCTTGAAGACCATTAACCAACAACTGGAGTGGAGAATTACATCATCGCGATTATTCGTTCAGGAGTTTTAACACTAGAGATCCATTTGTATTCACGGTTGAATATACACGTATTGACGAATATCTAAGTTGCAGCTGCAAATGGTGTGAAACAAGAGGTATTCTATGCTGCCATATATGTCACGACCCAAAATTCACTAAGGGTTGTGATGGCGTCGGACACTGCTGTCAGGCAAGCCAACCAAGTTACTTGATTAAGTTCTCATTTTAACAATTTGAAAACTAAGGTTTTCCTTCAATTTTAATAGTAAAAGACAATCTTTACAATGTAAATAAAAGAATGTTTGGGAGTAAATACAAGATATCCCATAATCGTCCCAGAACCCGGTGTCACAAGTGCATGAGCATTTACTAAGAAGGAAATAAAATGCAACAACCGTCCAGAATACAATATTGGACAGAAAATAAATACAGATAACTGAAAGAGACTCTAATGGCTGCGGGTCGCTTTGAGAAGTGCAACTCACCTAAGTTTCCGTATCAACCATGCTGCTACGCCCAGTAGGCCCCTAGAGATACATATGCCTGTGCAACAAAAATGCACAAAAGTGTAGTATGAGTACGAAAATAACGTGTACTCAATGAGTATCCCGTCTAATCTCGAAGAAGTAGAGACGAGAGGTCGACTTTGACATTTACAAGTGGTCTAATAATAATATAGTGAAAATGTGAGAAAATCATGAATTTTTATAAAGTAATTATAAACTGGTAAAAAAACCAGATAACAGGTAAACAACATCTCAAATAAGTACGAATTTCCAAAGTTACTTTTCATTATGCTTATCAACTATATCTGGCCAGGGAAGGCAAATATTATCACATAACATTCTCTGGCAAGAAATACAAGTATGCGCATATCATGCCGAGGTCGTACGACCCGATCCAATAGAAATGTAAAATGTGCACTGCCGAGGGTCGAACGGCACGAACCATATATGCATCAATTACCCCGCTCGCGCGTTATATATGCGATGCGGTCAACATTAAATAAACAAATACCCCGCTCGCAAATCATACATGCGACGCAGGCACACATAGATATATACAGTCAAACAGCCAATTAAGAGTTTATCGAGAAATGTTTATTCCAATAAAAGCCAATTCTCTTTTAATGATTTAAGAAAAATGAAGTTTAACCCGTTTAGAAATTCATTTACTAATTCGATGAGATTTAAGCAATTCAAGCTGTTAATAAGTTTACAAATATTCCAAGTATAGCATGCTTTTGGGTGCTAGACTACCCGGACAATAGCATAATAGTAGCTACGCACGGACTCTCATCACCTCGTGCATACGTAGCCCCCACAAATAGGAGCACATAACCAATTAAATCACCTATGGGGACAATTTCCTCTTACAAGGTTAGAAAGGAGACTCACCTCGCTCCGAAGCCTATGCTCCGGTTCAAGAACGCGCTCAAACCTCCAATTTGGAACCGAACGATCCAAAACTATTCAAATAGGGTAAGAAATAGTCAATACATGTTCAAAAGTTAATATTCTAATTATTAAACCAATTTCCCAAGCTTAAGTGCAAGGTTCCTAAAATTCATCCCCGGGCCCGCGTGCCCGGATTCCGAAATTTTCCAAAGGAAGTTGTTCTTTATAACCTAAAAATCAAGAATAAATGATTTCTAATCAATTCCATAACCATTTTCGTAGTTAAATCTAACTTTTATTAAAACCCTAGGTCTTGCTCTAACCCCCTTGATTTTTACCTAACTTCTAGTGTTTAATCTACCTAATACGCAAGTATTAAACTAAGGATGGGTGGGGTAACTTACCTCACAATGCTAAGTGGAAGTCTTCTCTCCAAAGCTCCCAAAATTGCCAATGGAAGAGTGTATAAGTGATAAAAATGGCTAAGAACTCGTATTAAATGAACCTCACCGCCTCAGCGATTTCCGCATTTGCGAGAAGATGATCGCATCTGCGAAATGGGGAGAGAAGGATGGGACCGTTTCTGCGGTCTGGAGACCGCATTTGCAGAGCCGCATATGCGGTTCCTGGCCTGGCTTGCTTGGGCCACTTCTGCGATGCTAGGACTGCTTCTACGGTCTCGCACCTGCGGTCCACCAACCGCAGGTGCGGTTATGACAGAAGCAACAACCTTCAGCTCTTCTCAAAATTCCCCTTTTCGATATGTTAACCACCCAGAATCCACCCGAGGCCCCCAGAACCCTAACCAATCATATCAACCAGTCCCAAAACACATTACGGACTTGCTCGAGGCCTCAAATCATATCAAACAATGCTAAAATCTCGAATCGGCCTCCAATCCAAGCTTTATGAACTTTAGAATTTCAAACCTCTACTTTCGATGTTTAAACCTATCAAATCACGTCCGATTGACCCCAAATTTTGCACACAAGTCGTATTCAACATTACGGACCTACTCCAACTTTCAGAATCGGATTCCGACCCCTATATCAAAAAGTCAACTCTCGGTCAAACTTCTCAAAAACCTTCAAATTTCTATCTTTAGCCAAACGACCTCAAAATGACCTACGGACCTCCGAATTCACTTCCGATCGCGCTCCCAACTCCAGAATTACCACACAGAGCTATTCCAAGACTCGGAATTCCAAACGAACATCGATAACACTGAAATGCACTTCAACCCAAACTTATGAAATTCTTCCAAAATGCTAACTTCCACAATAGGCGCCAAAACGCTCCCAGGTCATCCAAAACCCGATCCGGGCATATGCCCAAGTTCGAAATCAGCATATGAACCTGCTAGAACCTTCAAATCCCGATTCTGAGGTCGTTTACTCAAAAATCCAATCCTAGTTAATTCTTTCAACTTTAAGCTCCCGAAATGAGAATTCTCTTTCCAAATCAACTCTGAACTTCCCGAAATTCAATTTCGACCACGCGTACAAGTCATAACACCTGAAATGAAGCTGCTCATGGCCTTAGACGACTGAACGACATGCTAGAGCTCAAAACGACCGGTCGGGTCATTACATTCTCTCCCACTTAAACATACGTTCGTCCTCGAACGTGTTGAGAACTACACTGAAGTAGTCTGACATCACTGTTTGACACCTCATGCATCTTCCCGTGCTACCACAACTCAGTTGAGCACATTAGCTCGATCAATTCTGAAGATATTCCCTTTTATTCAAGCAAATAAGCCTTAGAGCCCAATTCCAACATCCGGAATTCTATGCCAGACCTGTTTCCAACATACGCTCACCATGTCAATAACTACACGTAGCGCCAAGACGTGACTGCATACCTTAGCTGAACTCACACCTTGCACCATTTTACTCATAGGACCACAATAACATTCTATGATCAATTTAATCAAAATTCCACGAATCTGATGCTCCCATTGCACCGCATGACATACATAGCTCTTACTCTAACTCTTACAATACCGCCACGACGGAAGATAGGCATAGAAATTCATAACTTATTGCTGAATCAACAAATCATTGGGTCTATACCCCTGACAAGAACCCTTACCTCATTCTGAGCCAAATAATGGTCTTAGCTCCTTAATATACTTCATATGATCAGATTGCACTGATCCTAAATCCGATGACCTCGACTCACCCAGTACGAACTGCTCAGGCAATAAGTCATACCGGATATGACTAAAAGTCTCATATGACGCCACCATGTGCCAATAGGCTACCAATTCGAACGTGATACAAAAGGAAAACGAACTCTGAAAGGAAAATCCAATTACCCCGCTCACGAATCATACATGCGACGTGGTCAACATGCTAAACAAACACCCCGCTCGCAAACCATACATGCAACGCGGGCATACAGCTAATATGAGTTTTCCTCATAAAATAGGAAACAAAACACATAAAAACAGATACGAAGAACTGTACTCAGCATGACATTGTTGCGGCGTGCAACCCTATTCAAATACATACCCATGGCGGCGT